TTTAATTTATTTGAAATAAAATAAATCCAACGTAACCATAACAGTAAGCTTAACAGCCTAAATATGATTTCGCAGTTACTTTTTTCTCGGGTTTGGTCCAACAAAAATATTGGTTACTGGTTGTAAGAAATGGCTTTACATCTATATTTAAACTATACCTACCCCAAATATATCTGGTTGTTCGGCTTCAATTATTATTTCCTGAAGAAACCTCTGGTTTGCTTTTCTCGAAATAGCCGTAACATTTTATTATTTCCTATTTCCCTTATTTTCTCTTGAGAAATTATTTTGGGCATCTTAAATATGAAATAAATTTGACAATGCCGAATTTTGAAAAATGTCAATGAATTTTGCAGGTATGCAGAATAGTAAGGTATCGTTTAATATTGCACTAATGGAAAATATATTGACAAATATGTCAAATTTGATTGGCCAGATAGGCCAGAGAACTTTAATACTGCGACACTTACGGAATTATGTGAAACACGCTTAAAACTGTCTGGAATTTGACATATAATGTCATTATTATACGAGGGTCAACCTGCCAAATTTCCATGGATAATGCTACGTCAATAATATCTGAAAGGCAAATAGAATTATATTTCTGTTTGGATTAGGATGAAAAAAAGAAGGATACCTAAATAAAATGCATGCATTTCAGTATTTTCTATGCAGACAAAGCCTATAAAATAATTATTGTTGTATAAATATTGGAGTTTACAATAGTATATTACATGCGGAGGTGGGAAAGTGTTTCATTATTGTCGAGAGATACAATCAATTATCGAGACAATAATGTGAAAACTTTCCACCGAATTATGTACTATACTATTTTATTTTCTACTTTACTATTATAGATCCATAATACCTAGGAAACGAAATACGTTAACACACCTATAACAACCTGATCCATAACGCCCGCTTTTGCGGGCGTTATGATCTATAACGCCCGCTTATAATACCTTAAGGTGTTTTTGTTGTTGTTGTTCTATTAATTTGCACTTTACCCTAGGCAGCCACTAAATGTCTGACCGAAAATAATTTTCGGTCTAGCCAGGATTCGAACCCGGTCTACCATCAATGTTTCCCATGTAGTCCAGCGCGTTAACCCACAGGACCACCACCGTTGCCTTACCTTATGAGATGTTTATAGATATATTAATTTATTTCGTTTCTATGTACAGGTCGCAGGTACAGGTACAGGTCACAGGTACAGATACATGTCAAAATACAAAACAATATTCTGTCACACAAGTTTAACTGATTTTGTTAATAACAAATTGATGAAAAAACATTGTGTTGAGTAGAAAATAAAGCATTGTATGCACCACGGGGATTTCAAGATTATAATGCCCTTCAGGCGAAATATATCCCTCGGGCCATAGGCCCTCGGGCTAGTTTCGCCTTCGGGCATTATAATCTACATAATCCCCTTGGTACATAAATAGCTATTATTTTGAACTAATAATTATTGAAAAAAATAAGGTAAACATATGACAAAATTTTAATTTGAACTGACAGTCTGACACCGACATTGACATCTTATGAAATTTGAATAATATAAACACATGTGACATCTACTTCTAAATGCAAACATTCCACCTGGATTTGTGTTTAGGTGTGTAAGAACAATTTATCAAGGCCGATAGCGACAGGAGAACAGTCACTTTCGGCCTGCTTTAAAGTAAACAAAAGTAAAGTGACATTTTCGAAGCTTCAAGCCAGTAAGGAATGTGAAAATTACATATATGGTTCAAAATAAAATCATTATTATTTAATTTAAATGAATTTTTCTCATTATTTGGAAAGAAAAGTATGTATTAACAGTGGGTTCTGCTTTGGTCGCCCCTATTTTTGGCCGCCCGTGTGCGGTGCACACTTTGCACACATGGTAGCGGCGGCCCTGCTTAACTCTTCCAGTGCAGAAAGTTACTCTGCTAGTTTGCATTCTGAAATTAGTAACTCAGTTAAAACCATTTGAACTAGTGATGGAAGTCTACAACTTCATCCCAGAAAAAATCTACTTTCTCCAACACCGTAAGTGGTATTTTATTTATTTTATCCCATTTTGACGTTTAAAAATGACATTATTGAACGCATAACAATAAAGGTAAGTAGACGTTTATCACCTCAGTGATTTTATAGCATTTTTGACAGTAATGTGATATATAACTGCATTCAAAATTGAGTGGTAAAGTGCCACTTTACCTCGATAGCAACACTTTACCACATAGCAACGTCATTGATAGCAACCATTTTGTAAATCAATTTTCATTTGTTAAGCCTTATTCACAGTGTGCGAAATTGCAGCATTTCGCAATTTCACGCCAATCAAATAAATTAAAAATAGGAAATAGTTATTTTATTTCTGGTTATTATAAAAATTGATAATATAATTATTAACTTCTATTTTTTCCGTTTGCCGGATAGACGAATCGGAATGTTGATCCAGGGCAACCCCGCCTGAAACAATAAAAAGCGAACGTTCTTTAAAGTGTCGTGTAGAAGAACCTTAAACCTTGACAATGTCAATGTCATGAAAACTAAATTTATATTTCAAATTTCTATCAAAATTTAGGAAAAAATATCTTATGAACACAGGATTTGAAACAGTTATATTTAATTGATTTACCTTTTCATAAAAAAAAGCCAACATGAGGTCCTCATTTGGCACTTCTTCCACGTTATTCATTAATTTCCATTGACGGAATTGGTCATATTCTTTCTCATACTTTGATTTTGATTTCTCAGGCAGCAGCCTTGCTGTAGCAGCACGAACTGCTTCCAATATCTTCGGATTCATTTCACTGGACGCCATAGACTGGACGCGGTTCCGAAAATTCTTTCTGATTTTTTGTTTGAATAATGTCACTGGTTTCTAAGTTACCGAAAAGAAAAACCAGCCAGGCATGGGCCACCAGGCACAGGTCTGTTATGATTTCAAAACGTATGTTGTCTTGTCAAAAATAAGAACATTTCTCAATTATTTGAAGACAAAATGCGATAAAATAGTATAAGCAACGCATTTGCAAAGGGTTTTACCAATATCGTGAGGCCTTAGAGCACTCGCTCGCTTCGCTCGCTCGTACACAAAACTGGCCACACTCAATTGGTAAAACCTCACTTTACTAAACTTGTTGCTTAATATACTATTAACTCACTCTCGGCATTTTAAGTCACTCTGCCCAACTAAAAATCTGAAACCTCAATGATTTAAAATATTTTTAACTCGCTCCCGGCATTTTTTCTTGTACTTTATTTTTGAAATTTTGTATACATCACGTGAGTTAAAATGATTATTCATTCGAAGAAAAAAACTTTCTTCTCATGAATAAAAATTCATTTAACTCACTTGGTGTATAAATAACTAATTTCTTTCTTAAATTGTAAGATTTAGAAGTTACATATTTTTGCCTTTTATTAAATCCCATTATTTTAGCAAGTAAGAACTTATTTGAAACTCATGATTATCTTTATTATTTAAACTCAATATCCAATTATCTATCAAATAATTATAGGTATTTTCCCTTTGCTTCGCTTCGCTCATCTTATAGAAATACATTTGATTTAAACCGATTATCTAGTTTCTTTTGAATTAATGGTTATCAGAAGTTTTAAATAGAGAAAACAAGAAAGATCTTGGTAAGAAAATATAAAAGTACTTATATTTTCACTTTAAGATCGGATTTCTAACAAAAGTCCGACCCGACAATAGCGTGCACAAAATCTCGCGGGCAGTAGTTGTAGATATTTCTTTAACACCAGGAGGAGCTCCGGAACAGGTCCGGGGCGTTACGCGCTTATTCCTTTCGTGTTTCCTGCACCCCGCATCTTTTCCTTTCAAATCGGCGTCGCGTCCACTAACACCATAGTACCGGAGCGAGTAGCTCGAGTGTTCCAAACTCTTGAAAGGAATACAACTAATGGCTTGAGGCGTTTTTGCTCAATAATTAGGGAATCCAAACCACGTGACTTTTGCCAACCAGCGGGCATTTTGAAATTTTTATGAGGTTAGAATACGGGTTGTTACATGTCAGAAAAGTGTCAGATTTGAGAACTCGCCCCGTGTATTGATTAGGCCGAGTATTCATAACAGCGAAATTCGTTTTTTTTTACATTGCTTCGACAATTTGACGTTTGATTCACGCATAAAACGTCAAATTGTCGAAGCAATGTCAAAAAAGAGCGAATTTCGCTGTTATGAGTACTAGGCTTAATCATGTCAAAAAAAAACATATGTTTTTTGTTTATTGTTTGCCAACCAGACGCCATTTGGACAGGTCGTTGGATTGCCTAATTGGTTGAATATTGACGTTTAAATGACGATCGATCTTCACGTTAAATGAAGTCTAATATTGAAATCATTTTGACGTTAACATTTGTTTGTATGAACGCTTTCTTTTATTCAGCGCTAGATCCATCGATGACCAGTCTATCTTTGTCTAGTTCATAGAAAATCGGAATAACTGTCTCATAATGCTGGCAGCAGATGGATCCTTTGCTAAATAAAAGAAAGCGCCCTATCTAAACTGTATTTTACAATACGGCCTAAGTGTTTGGGGTGGAGCGTGGAGCTTATAAATAGGTACCATCTGGCTAAGCTACAAGTCATACAGAAAATATGTATAAAGTTTATGTACTGTGTGTCCCATTTTGGTTGTCCGTAAGGGATAACTAACAACTGAAGGGTAAGCTCCCAAAATTCAAAATAATCGACATCTTCATGATTTCAACAAACATATATTTCATACTACCCTTTTTACAAAATAACCTGCCAAACCTAAACTAGACCCTAAGAACTTCGTCATGCCGGTTTTAATGCGTTTGGTTATCGACGTCTCTAAAAATGGAATTTGGCATGAGAGTTTGTTTCTTGTTAATTTTCCTTTTACACTTACCATGCACAAAAAGCGCTTAATACGTCCTGCAATTTTAGAAAAAGCTTCACATAGTGCCACATTATCTAAACTTTCTGTTATAAATGTAAAATAATATCTCACCACAAAATGCTAAACTGCTTATAGATAACCCAGCGATTAACCCTATAAATACACCCTCAAAATCTTCAAAATTCATAAATTTATTTAAATAACTTTGATCTTGACGTTCTCGAGGTCTAAATGCTAGCGCATTCGTAAAACCAAACTCGTGCACGATAAACTGCAAGCGTCGTATTTTTTCGAAATATGGAGAACGCTTTTTTAAAATATATCCTCCTAGCGCTGGTCTCACTACTTCTGGCAGTACTTCATAGCTGAAATATAAGCTTCGCATTTCAAAATACTTAGCGATAGTTTCCAACACTACTTCAGCTCCAATGAACACTGCATCCCCTTTATTCTCAAATATTTTCTGCCTCCAATCCAATGGCTTTAAAACAACTGTATTTTTGAAAGGAAACACAGTTTCAGTTGCGTAAACTATAAGATTTGTCGAATTTAAATCTGATAAACTGGTAACTATAGATGAATATTGAGGCATCAGTATAATTCGGAATAATATTGAATTATAGACTGCGCCAGAAAGGACACACCATAACAACCATATTGATTTTAATATAGTCTTTCTATTTTCAAATTGAAAATATGAAATATTCAATTGAAGAGACATGAAACCGAGTAACTCCAATTTATTGTTTTTGCGATTCCTGGATAAGTACTTGTTAAGTAAAGCCATAATGAAGCAGCTACCAAAAAAAGAAGGCAAGAAGACGGTGAGTAGAAAATTGAAAAATATCTTCCAACGCTGTTTCATCATTGGTTTTGGTACATAAGCTACATAATTATTTGTAATTAACGGATAACTGGTTTCGACTAGCTTTTGTTCTCTTGGTAAAGTCTCATAACTAATTGGTTGAGTTAGTGTAAACATTTCCAAGTCTTCTCCTGCTATTTTTCTAGCGAGCACGTCAATAGCATTGCCACTTTTGCTAGGCTTAAAATACCTCAATTCAAGGGTTAAATTGAAATACTTTGGCAAAAAATTTACAAAAGCAAAATCCCAAGCGCATACAAAAATTCTTTCTAAATTTGGAAGGGTTAGAATTGTCCACGGGTGTTTTCGCATATCTTTCAGGACATCTGGATATATAGAAACATTTTGGTGAGTGTTTATTTTATTTACATCCCTAATGTCAAGTTTATTCGAAAAAGGATTGAAATATGATTCCTTCAGGGATATATTTTGATAAATTAGTGAATAGTCCAATAATTTTGCCTCAAAAATTATTTTTGTTATACGTGAAACATCTTCAATGTGTATTAGTGATTTGCAAATGAAAATTTCAAAATGTCCTTTGTTAATATAATAATCAGATTTGGCAAATTCATCAAATATTTTTGCAAAATTCCGGTAATCCTCAATTACTATAAATGTCGTCGTGGATATTGTTTCGCGTAAATAGTAGTAACCATGAATTTGATTAAATGTAGAATAAACGCAATACATCTTGTTGGCTATTTTTGTTATTATATTTGAACAATCTTGGTCCAAAGGAGTGGTAAAGATATTACAATACCGTTGTGAAAAATATTTCATTTTATGAAATACATATTTGTCCAAGTCTTTTGTACTAAAGATATCGTTTTTACTAGGTATTGTGATTCTTGATGTAACGATTGTTGTCAAAACCAGAACTACGAAAATTTGCTTCATTTTAGATGGTTCTTTCACTTACTAAAGTAGGAAAACGATTAATATTTGTCAAGCCATGAAATTTCATCATGTATAACACTTCTATAGGAAAATCCTATTAAGCTTTAGATAAAATCTATTATTTTATTACTCTGGTAAATTAAATGTAGGTACTTTCATCAAATTTCAATGAAACGGACAATAAGTACAAAATCATGTTATTGTTAATAATTCATATTATTTTTAGATATATTGTTTTTTTTTTTTTATTAAAAATTTAAGTGGGTCACATCTTGGCCTGCATTTACAAGGATATTTTTTGCTAAACCTTGAACCCTTTTTGTTATAGTAATTAACAGGATGTCCATAATATGCTCAGTTTGTTCGGCAAATGGGTGGGTCAATAGATTAATAAGTACAGAATGGCAAGGGCGCCACTGAATTTGAAAAATAAAATAAATAATTAAATTACATAAAATATTGAAGTGTAAAAATTCAGAAACACACCTGACACTGAACTGGTGACAAACACAAGCGCGTGATTGTTTACATTCCGTGAATTCTTGTATCGTATAGGCGATTTTTTACCGGTTTCATAGGCCAAATATTTAACATTTAGTGGATGTAAATTAAATCAAATTAGTAGAGGTTTCTTTCTTTCGTTTAAAATGGCTTCTCCCCCCGGTGGGGAGGGCACTAGTGCACAGACACAAATAAATAGTAGTGAAAAAGCTGTTGAAACAATGGATGGTGACTTCGGGGATATTAGCACGGATAAAACACAAACCAAAAAATGTTTTAATACATTTACGGATAAGTACAACCTCAGTTGCATTTATGTTATGATAGAAAATACTTCAAAAGAAAATTTTGGTCGTGTTCATCCTCTGAGAGTAGGACACATATTACATAAAAAACTAATGATACAAAATATTATTGAAGTTAAGCCCGTGGGAAAAAATAGAGTTAGGGTACAACTTAAATCTCTTAAAGATGCTAATCTATTAATCAATAATGTAGCTTTGGAAAAAGAAAATCTTAGAGCTTTTATTCCTAACCACTTATTAGAAACTAAAGGGTTAATCAGAGGGGTTGATACGTTTTTTGAAGAAAGCTACATCTTACAAAATATAAATTCTAGTAGTAAAGTTACAGAAATTAAGAGATTCACTAAAAAAGTTTATAAAGAAGATTCGTCATTTATCGTGAAAAAACAAACTGTTCTTATTACATTTGAAGGTAACATTTTACCGGCAGAAGTGTCTATAGATACAGTTTTTTTTCCTGTAGAAATGTATTATGGAAAAGTGACACAATGCTTCAAATGTTTAAGCTACGGTCATATTTCTAAGCAATGTAAGTCTAATAAACATCTATGTGTTTCATGTGGAAAAGATAAAAATGAGGATACTGAACATTCTTGCACTGCGGTGGATATACATTGTGTACACTGTAAAACAGGCACACACAAATCATATTCTAAAAATTGCCCATTTTTTGAAAAACAAAAAAGTCTAAAAAAAATAATGATTGATAACAAAATAACTTTTAAAGAAGCCGAAGCTCTTTACAAAAATTCCTACTCAGGAATAATAGTAAATAATAGGTTTAGCCTATTAAATGATCCCATAAGTTATGATAATCAATTTCCATCCCTACCCGTAAATCGATTAGGTAACAATGCGTCAAATAAAAAACCCCCTGCACAGAGAATTACAGCCATATCTCAACCTTTACCTAGCACTAGTAACAATAATTATAATTTTAAAAAAAGAAAACAAAATTTTTCCCCATCTCCTCAAGCACAACCGATGTTTCCATTTGTGTTTGGCTCCTCAACCCCCCTCACTCCTATGGGAAACAATAAAGAAACGTCTGATGAATTTACTGAAATAGGTACACTACTTATTAATACTTTAACTGAGTATTTTGTTAATCTTGTTAAGAATTGTAACTCCTTGGATGATATCAGAAAGATAAATTTTGAAAATATAAAAAGTAAATTAAGCGATATCATAAGTGAAAGTAATCCAACAAATAAATAGACAAAATGGCAAATAAAAATACATCCAATAAAATTAACATTCTGCAATGGAATTCACAGTCTGCAGTTTCCAAAAAAAGAAGTTTAGAATTATATCTTCAACAAAATAACATTCATATTGCCGCTATTAATGAAACTTGGTTTCAACCAGGTAAAAACATTAATTTTTCTGGCTACAATATTCTAAGACAGGATAGAGCTGATGGAAGGGCAGGAGTTGCAGTTTTTATTGATAAAAGCCTTGCCTTTTCTTCAGTTAATTTTATTCAAAACTATAATGCTGGTATAATGGTATGTGCTGCCTCAGTGTTTATAAAAAATGAGAAAATTACTTTTGCTTCAATCTACAGACCTCCTAATGTTAAGACTAGTTATAGTGATTGGATAAATATAGTAAATCAAATTCCTTCGCCATTTTTTATATTAGGTGATTTTAATGCCCATAGTAAGGTATGGGGCTCTCAAAAAAATGATCTTTTGGGAGAACAAATACTACGTGTAATTGATGACACTAACCTAATAATTTTAAACAATGGATCGTCTACTAGAAAAACCCGCCCCAATGAACTGGATTCTGCTGTTGACATCAGCTTTATCTCACCTGATTTAGGATCACGGGTTAATTGGATTATTGAAAATGACTCTCTTGGGTCAGACCATTATCCCATTTTGATTAATCTTGAATCAAAAAATCTCTTACCTATCACAATAAACCCCAAAGTCAAATGGAATACCAAGAAAGCTAAATGGCTTGACTATACTATATTTATAGAAAACCGCTTTTTGAATAGCCTCATACCACATACGACGGAAGAAAAATATAAATTTTTAATTAGTACGATAAACGATGCAGCAAAGTTATACATTGCGGTTAATAAATGCAGACCATATACTAGACCACCCCCTCCGTGGTGGAACCCCTCCGAATGTGACCCTGTCATTCAAAAAAGGAAAAATGCACTTCTGCAATATAAACAAAAACCATCTCTAGAAAACTATATATTATGCTCCAAGGTCGAAGCTGAAACTAAAAAATTTCTCAAACAAAAAGCTAGAAATTCATGGGTCTCATTTTGCTCCAATTTAAATAAAAACACAAATTCAACCGAAATATGGCAACAAGCTAGAAAAATGGCTAGGCAAAACATTAAGTTAAAACCTTCCTCTAATATTTGGTTAGAGGAGTTTTTTGATAAAGTTACTCCTCCTTTAGTTAGGAAGGAACCCAAAAATGTTAATCTGAACTATCCTGAAAATCATTTCTTATGTCGGCCTTTTAGTCTGGATGAGCTTGAGTGCTCACTTAAAACCGCACGCAATACAGCTCCTGGAATTGATGACATACAGTATATCATGCTCTACAACTTACCCCACATTGCCAAGGTTACTCTACTTGACATTTATAATGATATATACTTACGTGGCAAAAAAATTGAAGAATTTGAGCACGTTGTAGTAGTCCCCATACAAAAACTGGGTAAAAACCCCGATCTAGGCAGCTCCTATAGGCCTATTTCCCTGTTATCTTGTGTGCTTAAAACCTTTGAAAGGCTTATTAAGTATAGATTGGAATTTTGGCTAAAAAACAAATGCCTCTTACCACCTAATCAATACAGTTATAAAAAAGGCTTTGGCTCCTTAGATGCTGTTGCACACATAACTACAGACATTCAAACTTGTTTTTCGTCAAACGATTATCTTGCTGGCCTATTTTTAGATATTCAGGGTGCTTATGACTCCGTAGACCTAGATATTCTTCAGGTCAAACTTATTAATCAATTTCTAATACCGGAAAATATAGCACAATCTATTGTGTCACTATATCGTGTAAGGCAAATTTATATCAGAAATAATGATAATGAAAAAATTGGACCAAGATTTGTCTATGATGTAGGGCTACCTCAGGGGTCGGTTTTAAGCCCCCTCCTGTTCAATATAAACACTGCAGATTTACATAACATACTTCAATCATCCAGCATTATCCAATATGCTGATGATTTTTGTGCCTATAAAGTATGTAAAAAATATGAACAGTGTACTAGCAGTATACAAATGTTATACCGTCAAATATCTAAGTGGGCTCTGCTAAATGGTTTCAACATATCATTAGAAAAATCTAATGCATGTATTTTTACTCGACATAATACCCCTATAGTGAATTATGTTTATGTAAATAAAGACATTAGAATTCCATGCACAAATCAAGTAAAATACTTGGGAATAATTTTAGACAAAAAACTTAGCTGGAAAGATCACATTGATAGCATAGTTATAAAATGCGAAAGGGGTTTAAATTTCCTAAGATGTGTCACTAAAACTTGGTGGGGATGTGATGTTAAAACGGCTTTAATTTTTTACAAAAGTTATATAAGATCGATTATTGATTATGGGTCCTGTTTCTATGGATCGGCTGCCAACAGCTTACTTCAAAAAGTAGATCGCATTCAATATAAAGCTCTACGCATTAGCCTGGGGGCCATGCGCTCTACACCCATTAGAGCCCTTTTAGTTGAAGCGCTAGAGCCTCCTCTTGAGTTGAGGCGCATCATGATTAGTGCAAAGTTTCTTTCAAAGCATAAATTTTTAAACACAAATTTGGTGGACAAAGTAATTAAACTAAACATTCATGATTTGACAAATAAATACTGGCAAAAAAAAAGATCCCCTCCACTCTGTGAGGCGTTTCGAGAATTGCAACCAATATGGGAATTTATAGTGCCTCTAGATTTCTTTGATTATGATTATAAAAGTTGCATACAAAATAAGTCAATTAGGTATCCCCTATTTACTGACAATCCTGCCATTAATAAAAAGTTAATTAAACCAGAACTAATGAAATACTCTACATGTATACATATATACACGGACGCCTCAAAATGTGCTGAAGGAAATGGTGCAGCATTTTATATTCCTAGCTCAGATATAAAACGTCAGTTCTCTATTAACACACACTGCAGTATATTTACCTCAGAGGCTA